AGAGCGGTGTGGCTGATGCAGAGTAGGAGGAAGGAAAGTGTGGTAGATGAGGTCATAGAGGTGATAGAATTCGTGAGACATAGATTTCAGTGTCTTTGAAATACTCCAGTTTTTTTTTTTTTAACTTTAAAAGAATTTAATATTATGTTTTATTTAATCCAAAGGATTCCAGGTACTATTTCAACATATAATATGATATGTGTGCTTTACTGCAACCACATCTCAATTCAAACTAGCCACTTTAAAGAACATTTGAGGATGGTTCTCAGCAATAACCTTGGGCCTCCGAATGAACACACACATATGTCACATATACACCTGCACACATGATAAATGGGAAAAGATAAATTCCTAGTCACCTCACAAGAGTTCAGAATCCATAGCTCTGAGAGAAACAGAGAGACCACTCGAATTGATTTTAGCTTGGAGTCTATTATACTCCAACAGCAACCTAGAACATGCAGACCAAGGTGCAGAAGTACACATGAAAGCATAAGGCAGTATCACATTTTAACTGTGATAACAGTGTAAATTAAAGAAACATTTTCATTGCTAGCAAGGCTTTGAGAAAACATACACTCTTTCACATTGTTCTTTGTTGTTGTTTGGTTTTTCAAGACAGTTTCTCTGTGTAATTTTGTTGACCAAGCTGGACTTGAACTCACATAAATCTGCCTGCCTATGCCTCCTGAGTGCTGGAATTAAAGGACTGTACCACTACCGCCCTGCTTATTCTTTCACATTTTTGGTAGAGATTTACATTAATGAACAAGTTTGCAGTCTACCAAAAACTTAATTACCAGTGTACTTTCATTTAGCAATACTTAACTAGGAACCCAATCTACAGAGACAATTATAAAAGCTGTAGGGTCTCAACTGACAAAAATAATCATATGAATGACGAAATCTAAGCAAAAGATGTTCCTTGCACCACCATTGTTCATAGTCATAAAACATGGAAATGATTTATTTTATTATTAATCTTTATGGATATAGAAGAAAGTATAGTATGTAGTCTTCAAAACAAATAGGGCAGATCTGTAGATCTAATTGGACATAAAGACAAAGACAATAAAAATGCTTTTTATCCAGGAAAATCAATTTATAGAATAACATGCATAACATGATTGATCTTATGTTAAAATCATCGTGTTTCTCTTGAAATGATTTTGTTTCTAGGTTTTGCTTGCTTGTTTGTTCGAGAGAGGGTCTTAAACTCTTGCCTAAATGGACCTTGAGCTCACAGAAATCTTTTCATGTCAGCTTCCCATGCGCAGGGATTACAGGCTTGAGCTACCACAATCAGGTTCATTGTGTGTTTCTGCATGCAATTACACAGGAAAAGATCTGAGAGACATGCAAACAGCCTATTGCTTGTGAGGATGAGGATGAAACTGAACATGTGTGTGAAGGACTAGTGGTGGGATTTTCTTTTGTACACCTTTTTCTTTTTTGAAATTCCATTGCATTCTAAATTAATTACTTCTATAATGTTTAAAATGAGGGAGTGATCCACTGCCACACATTTCTGAAAGTTCCCAAGGAAAAACTCTGAAGGCAGTAGCATATTTGTTACAATATAATCAGTATGCCACTGTGCAGTCTGATGGGAACACCCTCTTATAGGCGCTGTGTGGCCTTGGGAAAAACACAACGTTTCTGAGCTTCAGTTTTCTCACATAGAAAATGGAGATAATACCTGCCCTACTTATTTTATCTCTAGTCATGGGGATAAAATGGAAACGCCTTTTAAAAATTATAAAGCCCTTTAAAAATGTGAAGACTACTATTTCACGTGCCAGTTAATGGCCTACTTCTTTTGAGCAGTGGTCAAACAACATAAAAATTCAGTTTCAAGTAGAGAATTTGCATGATTTCCTAGAGTTTAATGGAACTCTTAGGTTTCATATAGTGGCAGAATAGATATTTGACTTGAATGTTTCAGAGTGTTTTGTGTAAAATATCCTGATATGGACAGGTTTTGGCAAAACCCTCAAAGTGTTTACTGTACTAATCTTAGAGCCAACTACTTGAGTCATGTTGCATTAATCAACAATGGTTTCCATGCTCAGTGTCTAGTACTCTTCTGTGGGTAGGAGGTTAGATGGCCAGGTTTGTCTGGGTTAGTCTCACTTTGCACTCTCCATCTGTAATTGCAAATAATGCTCTTTTCAGTCCCCCAAAGTTTCCTAGTTATAATGATCAATGTCTTAGGATTTCTGTTGCTGTGACAACACAAGATAACCAAACACAAAGAGAGGAAAGTGTCTTTTGGCTCACATAGTCCAGGTCACAGTCCACTGGAGGAAGCCAAAGCAGGAAATCAAGGCAGGACCTGAAGCAGAAGCCATGGAGAAATGCTGCTTAGTGCTTTGCTTCCCCTGGCTTGCTAGGTTTGTTTTCGTATACACCTCAGGACCACGGTGGTCTGGTCACCCCCAAACACACACACATCAATCATTGATCAAGAAAGTGTCATGTAGACTTGTCTACAGACCAATTATGGAGGGATTTTCTCAGTTGAGATTCCCGTTTCCCAGATATGTCCAATTTTTGTCAAGTTGTTAAATTCCAACCAGGCAATCAGTTATATTGACACTCTCCTATGGTCACATATAGAACACAGGAGGAAGCATAGAAAGCCCCTGGTTGAAAACCAACATACCAAAAAAGAAGACTAGGTTATGAATTTGAGAGGGAGTGGAAGAGAGAATGGAAAGGATATAAATACAGTACTCATATACAGAAATTCTCAACACAAACAGAAAATTCTGAATCTAAACAAGCTCTCTTTCTCCATGCCGCGTCTATATCAATGGGAATGCCAATGACTTAAGTAAAAACAGTGGACCTTTCGGAGACTTGATGGTCTTAGAAGCCAAGGCTTAACCAGGACTCAGAAGAACTGGTGAAGGCCTCTAGAGAGCCACCCTATGAGTTTTCCTCTGGTGCAGAGATTCCCTTACACTTTTTCTTCTTGTCACATTGATCAGTTCTCCTGATCAGAAATTTATTTAGAGGACAGAAGCAATTGATCATAGTGGGAAAAGTTTGCAAATTGTTCATGAATAGCATTGTTCTCTTCCTGCCTTACACCCGGGATTTTCTTTTATAGAAGGGAATGTTTCCTGGAGGAATACAAATAGAAAGGAAAAAAAATGGAGTATGAGATATCTGTGGAGTGAATTCTCCCTTAATGACAACATAAGAACTCAGGGTACTGTGGAGGTAGGCTCAGAAAGGAAAGGAGGCCTCAGGGATATGCAATACTTATTTGCAGAAAAATGTCTGGTGCACAATTCCTGCCGTGAAGGAGAAAACATGCCTTTGTCTGCTATCTGCTATTTCTTCTCTTTCTCCCCATTCTCTGTTGCCTAGTACCTGGAATTATGCTGGTTCTCAAGTAAGGTCTGCACAGGTCTGGGAATATGACTCATTATATTGCTTTTGCAGGAGTATGGATTATTGGGTACATTTTGGAACACACTTGTAAGTTATGACCATCCTGTATAAGGACTGACATTTCTCCCTGGAGGGGCTCACTCTCCCTCAAAGGACTCACAGACATTGAATTTAGGTGAGACTGTTAAAAAGAAACTACAGGGGAGCAATTGAGTATCAGCTCTCAAATACTGATTGCCTTCAAACAAAATGTGAATTTATGACATGGCTGTCCAAGAGAAGGCTGGCATGTACATTTACAAAGTCTGAGAATACACTTAGACATCAAAATGAGGGAATGGAAAATTCAGAGGAATGGAAGTCCTTAAGGTTTGGCATCAGACATGGGTGTGGATAGGGAAAGTCTGGAAGGAGGAGTTAGGACCAATAGGCGTGAAATGGTTTTTTGAACAGGGAGGAATTCACTTGGCTAAAGAAAGATGGAAGTAAAGTAGTTTTTTTAAAATTAAAGTTCATAAAAACCTATCATTTGAAATGAATGCTTTTCATCTGACTAAGCACTCTGAGCAATAAATATTTGCAGCATTTAATGTGGCTAAAGTTCAGATGTAATAAGGACCAGATCATGAAAAGCTGGAAATTCAGATGAAGGACTCTAGGCTTGCTGGCAGTCCATGAGAGTGTCTTATTAGAATTAGAACATTAGCCTGAGACTGGTACACGGGCTGAAGGAGAAAAAAAGCGCAAATAAGCATTCAGGAGGCTGGTGCTATAGGCTAGATCACAATTGAAGCAGCAGGTTGGAGAAGGGACAAGTCTGAGATTCACTGTAGAGATGGTAGCAGAAGGACTGGCAGAGGCCCTTAGGTTTCCCAGAGTAAGCATGAGAGGAACTCTATCTGAAATACATGCTTACATTGTTCCATGCTCTCCTAGTGAACCTCTGATTTCTAAAGAAACCCTGTAGCATCTCTAAAGTAACTTAATTCTGCAAAAATAACATTTATTGATCACTTGCTTTGCACATTAGGTTAGTGAATGTTATAGTGTTTCTAGCTTAGGAAACGTGAGATTGGAATTTTACTTCCAGTTTTGAGAGCATACTATTGGTCCTTCAAAAAAGTGATGTGCCTAGAGTTTGTTCCCATAGGAATAAATAGGTTTTTACTTCATAGTCCCCGGGCCCTTCCTCTGAACCTCAAATCCCCAGGAAAGTCTTGTCACCAATTTACTAACCTAGTTCATGAAAAGTGCTTAATGGATCAATGCTCTAAGACTTCGTGGAACTATGAGAAATTAATTAGCCTTGTCAAATGTTATTTGCATAAGTCCTCTTCCAACTGCATCTTCATGGAACTATTTGAAATTAGTTAGCCTTGTCAAATTTTATTTGCATACGTTCTCTTCCAACTATGTCTTCTCTCCTCCAAGTACAAGTTTTTATTAAGGTTGATTTTAAACAATGCGACCTAAGAGAATCTGTACAAAGAGCTGGAAGAATCTAAAGCCATGAGTTTATTATTAACACAGTAGCAAATATATCAAGGGAACACACCCGGGGAAAAGTGTTTCAAATAAACACAGATCTGCTGGGAGAGAGGTCTGTACCCAATAAGCAAGCTGGAAGAGGCCTATTTGCTTGGTGATGCCCAGCAGATAAGCCAGGCAAACCTCGGTGTGATTGAAGAAGCCAGTTTGAAACTCAGCCTTGTTCAGGCAGACTCCTGACTGGCACCTGCTGCTCCAAGCGATTCTCAGCATGATGATATTCGCATTTTGGAAGGTCTTTCTGATCTTCAACTGCCTTGCAGGTAAGGAATAGATCTTCCAACCAAGAGCAACTGGAAGTTGATTTTCTCTTTAGATTAAAATTGCAATTTTTTACAAAAATCTTCCTCTACCAGACTTCCAAGAGATTGTGATTAGTGTGCTGGTTGTTTTCAGCACTCTTATTTAGCAATTATGTTCTGTGATGATGATTATTGGGGGGTCAGTTGATGATAAAATTGACTTAGCTTCTGAAGTGAGTTTCCCAGTTTCTTTATTTTCCCATTTTTAAAAGTTTAGTTTGAAAAGGGAACAGATGAATTTGCTCAGAAAATCAAAATTTGTGTTTAAAGATAAGATTTCTCTTTTAATTTAGTGTTCCCCCTAAGGTCACCGTGATTCGCTCACTTTGCCACAGAAAGCAGAGCCGGAACTCAAGACTGCATGAGCGTATTTGTGGAGGGACAAGAGAGAGACCAGTGGAGTGCCCAGTTAGCGACAATTGCCTACAAAGTGTGGTTTCCGAGTTGTAGGAAAGTATTACAGAAATACACGATCGAGTTATCATGTAACAGTATGGTTGATTTTAGGGAGTTGAGCAGAACAACATCACTTTCACAGCCTCAAATTCCAGGGTTTGTTAAGCTCAGAAGTAATTAATTTGGAAAGTCCCTTGGCTGAGTTTTTAAAGCTAGTGTCATGTATATTTTGAATCTGTTCTGATGGTAAGTTAAGTTTATGTAGCTACAATAATATTGTTTATCAAACAAGGGAGCTCTTTTTAAGTCATGAGTAATGTTAGGCTGTCATTAGCCTGCAATTTTATGAGTATATTTAATGAAACAAAACCATGCTCAGGATAAAACATGAGAAAAGTCAAAATATACAAACCAAGATAATAATAATTTAAAAGAAGATGATATAATAATCATGGTTACTTCTTGGTTATGTGATTAAAGATTTTGATTTCATTTCTCTGAAGATTTATGAAACTTAATTCTAATACTGTCTTGTGGTGAGTAGTAAATTTCAAATATCCATTATTAAATGTTTAAACAAAGATGTTATATGAAGACAAAAGTCACCAGAAAGCAATTTTGAATTTGTTTCATGATCTGTCCTGATCATAGAGCTGGAAGTATCTTACTTAGTTAATTTACCTTAGAATTATGATTCAGTTTAATAAGTGAGGAAAATCTCTGTCATTTCCTTCAATTGTTAGCTAGTTGGGTCATACCATAGGTTTTCTGTACCAACCCTCTATGGGCCCACCTTTAGTCAACATAATTCTTTATGTAAAGCCTTACCCTATTCTATATATGACATAGGGTCATAACAGGTATCCAAATGACTTTTATTATAAATATATACATAAATGTAATTTTAGTGATGATAAAAATAATGGATATCGACTATATTTGAGAATATGGGAATTTATTAATAAAATATAATCTTACCACTCAGAATTGAGTAAATTATCTATTTTTTTTATAAGAGTGGATATTACATTCAAATGTGGCCTTTGCCTTGTACCTCCTTTTCTATTATTTTAACAATAATTTAGCATGATGTTGGGCTCTTGATTGTAACTTTCAGTAGATGACCCAACCAGACTAAGCCATAAATACCTGGGGATTTTTTCTTAAATAATGATGTGATTTTGTTGTTGTTTGACATATGCTGTATATTTATGCATGTATAGGTGACACAAAGCAAAATCTTATAGCACAGCAGGTGGCATAAAAATGGAGTATGGTATACTATCACGTGCTGAAGTCACATGAATATGGAAGGCATACAAAGGAAGATACATTCACAGAAATCCAAGTCACATCATTGACCCTGAGCCATCAGTCGATAGTATGGCTGCAGGATAACTAATAATGTCTCTATAAAAGTTCAGTTTGATGCTCAACTTGTATTTGTTTCATAAAAGACTATTTTTGTATCAACCATATTGCATGGAACCTAGTGAACATGGTGAAAGAGTAATTCACCACCCTCAAATCCAAACATCTGGAAATGATTTTCATATTCACATTTAAAATCAAATTTCTGCACAGCTAATCAGAAAGATGTTATTTTAATCAGAATACTCTCAGTGATGTCTGAGGTTTTACTTTAATTTCCATTTCAGCAAAACTAATTTTAGTTAAAGCTTTCTTGTACAAAAATTGATGCATATCATTTGAGCTCCTTGTGATATGTTCATATTTTTCCCCTGTTGGAAAGATACGTCACTCTTGCTTTCATTTAATAGAGGTATGTATTTGAAAGAAGTAATACATTTGAATGTTTTGAAGTCAAACACAGAAATTATATGCTCATTTGGTTATATTATTTCATAACTAAAAGATGAAACAACTTTACATAGACAGGGATAGAAATGAGATCACTTGAATTCACCTAGTAATACAGACAATTGGGCAGTATTTTTGCTGTGGCACAGCAGTAGTCTAATAATCTTCCAAATAAGCAAGGACCTTGCCCACATTGTAGGCATTAAACGAATGAATAACCATCACCAAAATAGAGCACATTTAAACTCTTTAGAATGTTGATTAATTTAAGCATATGCATCTTGAGTTATTTTCCTTAGATGATAAGTACTTATTTTTAGAAGCAGTCAGGTTCATTTCAACTGCATATGCAGTTTTGCTTTGTTTATTAATTCATTCAAGTTAATGAGGAAGGTTGTAAGCCAGAGTTTTGTTTAAACGTTTAGTCCCTTATTTATTCACAGTTCGGGTAATGTATTTGTTATTTTCTCAATTTTAAATATTATAAATGTAATACCAAGAAAGAAATCTTTTTCTCCAGAAATTCACAAACCTGCCTCCTGGTTAGTACTATATTTTCTCTGTTCATTATCTGCATGTGACTATCTAAATCTAAATTAATTCAAGTTAAGTAAAATTATAACATGACCTCATCGGTTTTACTAGCCACATTCCATGTGAGTAGTGACTGCTTAATTAGATAGGGTGCAGGCAGAACATTTCCATGCCCACCACCATCCTCATCATCATCACAGAAAGTTCTGCTGGACAGTGATGAGCTAGAGGGTGGTCTTAGAGGATTAAATAAAATGTAGTAATAGAATGTTTTCTTTCTTTTCTTTTTAAACTATACAGGTCTTTATTTCCAACCACACTTCCCAATCCGTACATATAAGGCTGTTTACAGAAGTGGTTTATTCTATGTACAAGACAGAAAATACAGATGATAAGTACTTATCCAGGCTAGTAAAGTACATTTGTGGGACTATTCAAAGAGACATAAGAACCAGCTGAAAGAATGGCTAAATGCCAAAAACTGAGAAATTAAAGTGAATGAGTTAATAATGCTTAGATTATAGCTAAAATTAGAAACTAAATGCCCTTGAACCCATAGTGATATTATTCCTGAATAGGGCAAAATTAATGATAATGGAAATCACTTTGATATTCTGGGTTAAGAAGCTATCATTTTGGTATGTATTTTTGTCTTATCCTATAATATCAAAAATGATTTGGGCAGTTGTTACTATCATTGCAGTTATTTGAATGCTCTGCTCCATTAGCTAATGCCACTCTATTCAACTAATCCCATTTTAAGGCTAATGAAAATTCTTACTATACTTAATTTTATGCTTTTCAATATACTATTGATGTTAAAGAATAAGTGGTGTGTACATTTCCTCTAAACTCTGTGCTGTGTTCTGTAAGTTAGTGTGATGCATTAAAAAATAGATAAAATATTGATGAGTGTTTCACAAAGCAATGAAATATCAAATTTCCTTAAACAGATGAATTGAACAGTGGTACTATGAAGGAAGTATTTTATAAAGTTTTTATATCTATTTATTTGTTTTATGAGCATGAATGTTTTACCTACATGACTGTATGTGTGCCATGTATATTTTTGGTGCCTATAGATGTCAGAAGAGGGAGTCAGATTTTTCGGAATGATAGGGATGGTTGTGAATTAGCATGTGGGTGCTTGAAAAGATAACAGACCCTCTTCAAGAGAAAACTGAACCTAAAGAAAGGTCTAGAGACCTATAAGACCGCCAACTAACAATTTGAGCAACCTTGGAAAGGCTACCATAAATGCCCTTCCTGGATAGTGAGATCAACAGCTAACTTATCCACCATCATGGAGCCCTCATCTAGTACCTGTTGGAAACAGAAGCAAACACCCATAACTAAAGACGGAGTAGAACTAGAATCCAGATGCGATGCAGAGGGAGGGAACAAGACCAGTTTGGAGAAACACATAGAGACAGCTGACCTGAACAAGGAGGAGCTAACGGGCCCCAGACTGATAGCTGGGAATCCAGCATGGGACTGACTCAGGCCCCCCTGAATATGGGTCTCAGCTAGAAGGACTAAGCAGTCTAAGGGACCTCAGAGAGTGGAAACAGGATGTATTCCTTGTGTACAAAAGGACCTTGCAGACACATCCCCCATGGAGGGATACTTCCTTAACCTAGAGAGAGAAGTCCTAGTCCCTACTTCAAATGACTTGACAGATTTACATGACCCCACCTGGATGGCATTGCCCTACATGTGGAATTGGGGTGGGGGGAATGGGAGGGGAGGTTGGTCAGGATGCATGTGAGGGGGCAGAGAGGATAAGAGGGAGGGAGAGGGAACTGATCGACATGTAAAATAAAAAATAATTAAATTAAAAAAAAGAATAACAAATGCTCTAAACCACTGACCTATCATTCCCACCCTCATGAAGAAAGACTTAAGAATATTCTTGGTTCCCTAATTAAAACATAAGAAAAATCCATTTCTGAAGGCTCATCAGAAGTGTCAGTATAAGTATCTATTTTTTTTTAGACTCTTGTTTTTCCATGTTTTATCTTTCTATCATCAGATTTCATTGGGATACTCCTGAATCATCTTCTCCATTTATATTACTATCGTTGAAAGGCAATGCTTTTGATGGAACCCTTTAGAACTTGACTTGTCTCTTCTGGGATCTTACCCCTCTTCTGTACATATTTCTTCACACCTTTTAAGAGCCAATTCCTGCAAACAAGACTATCCATAGGTTCTCAGTTTACATTTGGGATTATAAACACTTGCTTCTGTGGTAACGTATGCACATCTTTAGTAGTCATTGGTCTCACCACTGTTTCTTCCCGTAACTTCTTTCCCAATAGAGCTCCTTACATTTCCCACCGGTGTGAAGGGATAAAGGACATGTTTCCTGCCTGTTGCTGTTGTTGGTACCTTGATACCTGAAATAATCCATGATTTTTTTTATCTTAAAAGATAGATCTAATTCCACTTTTGCATTTATTTGGTCTTGTTGTTTAAGAAAGGGTTTCTCTGTGTAACAGTTCTGGCTGTCCTGGAACTCCCTGTGGAGATGAGGCTGGCCTTGCACTCAAAGATCTGACTGCCACTTCCTGCTGAGATAAAAAGTGTGCACCATCACTGCCTGGCTTCGTTCTCTTCTAGACGGGAAAAAGAAGATAAAAGTGTTTCTGTCCCAGGCATGTGGATTAAGTGTCTGTTGTGTGAATGAGTTTCATATTGTCTGGGCAAACTAAGTTATAGACATTATTATGCTCTCTCTTCTCGTTTACTTCTTTACAAACTCAGCATTTTTGACGATCTGTCAAATCCACTTCCACTAAAACATTTTCTGTATTTCATTCAGGCATTTCATTAATTTTTGTAGAGCAGAGAAACCATATACCTGCCTACGGTTCACTTCGTTACAGGGACTTCTGGAGTATGATGTTCTTGAGCAGCCAAGCATGCAATATATTCAAAATGTTAAATGTCACAACCTGTGTGTAAATGATGTGCCTTGCTAAAGTTTGGATTGATGCATGTCAGAGAGATCCAAACCAAACCGAATGAACTCTTTAAGTATCCAGTTCAGGGACAATTTAAACAGTTTCAGAGGGTTGGTCTATTATCATTATGGCAGAAAGCAGCCAATCATGGGATTGGAACAGTAGCTGACAGCGTCACATGTTAATCCACAGGCAATAGGCAGAGAGGACACAAGGCCTGGCATGGACTGAGGATTTTATAATGAAGTTTAGTTGAAAAATTAGAAACTGTTATCAATTCCAGAGCTCTAAGCTCTGATGTTTGTTGTCATTATATTAAGGTTGGCCAGTGCTTGAAAACTATCTCTCCCTCAGAATTTGAGTACTGATTATGGTGCTGTATTTTGGCAGTATGGGAAATAAAATGGTCTGGTGATTTTGGTTTGCCAGTTGTTATTGTGCAGTGTTCTTGTAAATGTCTCACTTTAAAGTTTGAAAAGACTGTCTGGATTCCAATATGTAATTTCTGAGCTTTCTGGACCTCAGATTATTGCAGACATATGTGTCTATTATAAAAACTAGGAACTGTTTGAATCAGATTTGTATTGCTTATGTTATTGAATCTCATTCACTACCACTCTGATCTGTGCTAGAAATGGTTTTCTGTTGCTTTGTTATGTCAGGCAGAGATTGGGACTCTCGTTCACCATAGTCTCTCCAGTATTCAGCACAAAATTGATACTCAACAGATTCAAAGTTCCAGCTAGATGGGAGGTGTCATTTAAAGACATATTGTATATCAAAGTGACCGTAGTTAGTATATTGTATATTTCTTTGTTTAAAAAATGAGATTACAATTTAACTACATTTCTTCCTTCCCTTTCCTCCCTCTAAACCCTCCCATATATGCTGCCCCTCCCTCATTCAAATCCATGGCCTCTTTGTTCATTAATTGTAATTGCATACTATGTATTTCAAAATGGCTAAGAGAATACATTTTAAATTACTTCATTACCAAAAAATGATAAATTGTTAAATGACAGATACTTCAATTAATGATATAATTACTCTGTAATATATCAGAATACCAAGGATACCACACATGAACCCCATGTGTAAGGTACTTTTCAGTTAATTTTAAATTAAGAAACAGAGAAGTCAAATAAGAGTCAGACATTGCTGTCATCTATTTCTCTGATGACTTTTTCTACATTTCTGGTGATCAAAACCAGGTCCTTGTACATTCTAGACAAGCACTCTACCCCTGAGCCATATTTCTCATCCTGAAGACTTTTTTAAAATCTATAACTTCATGCTCAATTTCATTTCCTCTACTTTGAATTGTTTTTTAAGTAAAATTAGACTATTTGTCTTCCCAAGAAACACAAATGGAAATTATAGAACTAAAACCTACAATAATAAAAATAAGAAACATACTGATAGACTCAGTAGTACAGCAGAGATTCCAGAATATAGAATCTGTATCCAGTGAAACTATCTTTCACAAATTAAGGGAAGATAATAATGATAATTTCACTCAAAGGGGGGGATATCACCTAGCTGGCATGCCCTTGAAGAATTGCTAAAGGAATTACTTCTAAAGAAAATGATGAAAGGATTTAAAATCATTATGGAGGCAGAAGTAACAAAAGAAACGGCAGAAATATGAATAAAGGTGTTTGCTTTAACTCATGAGTTCTGTATATCATATGTGATGATTGAAGCAAAAACTCCAGTATTCTCTTATTCCATTATCTTGAACTTGAGACAATGACGTTTAAATGTTGAGATAGTAAGTGGATCTAAATGTAAGTGTAATGTACGCATATCATTAGAGCTAGTAAAATATTGACACCAGTAGATTGTTATGCTTCACATACTTTTAGTGGTTTGTTTAGTCTTTTATTTTGCAGTGCTTGGAATTGAACTCAGAGCCTTGTGCATGTTAGGTATATCACAATGCTTTAAATGATTTCTTGTATAGAGCACACAACCCAACAGTAGCATAATTGACTGAGGTAATATATTGTTTATGATCTAATAAAGCCACTGAAGATCAGAATGCAAAGCTAGCCATAGCCATAGAACCAGAGCCCTTCAATTCCAGGACTCAGTAAACAGAGGCAGTTGGATCTCTGTGAGTTCGAGGCTATCCAGGGCTACATGAGAGTGAAGCAGTCTAAAAGAGAAACAATGCTCATGTCTTTAATACCAGCACTAGAAAAGGTCTTGGATTCTGGCAATTAGTTTCCAGCCATGCTGAAGAAAGGATCCCCCTTCCAGCCTTGGTAAAGGTAAGAGCTACTGGCTTGGCTGCTTTGCTTCTCTGATCTTCAGCTTGAACACCAATATCTGTCTTTGGGTTTTCATTATCCATGCTACAATGGACATTTACCCCCAGCCTACAGAATGTGGACTAAGAGAGACCACATACTTGGCCATAAAACCTAAATTTAAAAATAAGTGAAATCATACAAAGCATGGAATCTCAGTATAAAATTCAGAAGTACAGTGTCTACTTGGCATGCACATGCCTCCTTTTTCCTGTCTTCAACACCCCAAAAAGTTACGGAGGTCCCTCAAAGTGATTTCTCTATGTGCAATATCTCTTCCTATATTTACTGTGTTAAAAACTAAAACAAAAAATTAGAAAAATAAACAATAAATATTCCTTTAGTGACCAGATCAGTGACATTATTACCTGTTATGTAGGTTTGGGTTCACTCCACTATATACTCATAAAAGGATCAAAGTGTATAAGAAAACTGCCGTCTTCAAACTTCTGGGATATAATTTAGATCTCCCAGTAAGCCCCCCACATACAGTGGTCTTAGGTGCAGGACAACCAACTCATCCGGAATTTTCCTAGTTTGGGCCTTGAAAAGCCTTTGCTTCTGACTTACCTAGTTCTTTAAATAAAATGCTCTGTATTCAAGGACCACTGTATCATGGGAAACCTGGGTTGATTGTTCTCCATACTCAAACCTTTTAGTGTCCCTGGGTAAGAAGGTAAGAAGCTGTATATAACATGAGCTATATATGAATTATCAGTCCAGTGTTATTACCTCACCATCACCTGGGTCATAACTTGTGAGGAAATGATGAGTTAGAAAGTCTTCCCTGTGGCTGTTGTCTGCCTCGAGTCGCCTGTATGTTTCATTCTACTCTCTTTGGCGTCCTAAGAGTCTTTAAACAAGATGTTTTGTTTTTTATGATAAAAATGCCATCAGAATGTATGTCCTACTAATTATCTCATGATTATCTTTTCAGGTCAGGTTAGTATGGTGCAGGTGACCATCCCAGACAGTTTCATGAATGTGACTGTTGGATCTAATGTCACTCTTCTCTGCCACTATACCACCACTGTGACGTCCCTGGACAAGCTTACAATCCAATGGTCTTTCTTCCACAATAAGGACATGGAGCCAGTTTCTGTAAGGATTCTCTAACTAAATAACTCCCACTTAGTAGTTCTTGCTGAAAACTGTTGGGATGAAAATATGAAGGAACTAGTGAGAACTGTGACAAAACTTGAGACACGGAGTTTTTTAGATAGCTGTTTAGGGAAGACAGTCTATCCAAATGACTTGGGCTTTGTGTTCCCTTATTTATGAGTGTCTGTTTGCTCAGTTTTTACTCAATTTTGTCAGTGTCATGTATATCACATTTTCCAAAATAGCCACAGGCCTCCTCATAGGTGAAGTAAGCAGTAGCTTTTAAAGGGTATCTTCCAAGTATCGATCTCCCTGTTATTTCCAGAAGACCTCAGTTCACATGCAAACTATAATGGATCTGCCTCACTTAATAACTGGGATCTGCCTGTCATGGGAATTCTCTCATTGTTCCACACCAAGTCCTGACAGTTTGAGATTTCCAAGACTGATGGAGAATGGCCATGATAATAATGAACCCTTTGTATTGAGGGCAGCATGTGGTTAGAAGATAAAAGATGGACGGAGTGAACAAAAGGTTTGGCAGAAGTTTCCAGAATAGGGTGGATGAGCAACTGTGGGGAAGGATGATTCCACAAGCAAACTGCTTATCACTAGATTTTCTTCATTTGGCTTTGAAAGTAATTCATTTTGAAAATCATTGTATTACATAGAGGTTTTTTGTGTGTGTATATATATATCTGTGCACATGCATATGCAAACATGTACTATCCATGCCTCTGTACATTCCTTGAAGAGAAAGGTCTACAGTTAACAGATTCTCAAAATGTTACACGACCCCAAATAGTGAAGAGACCAACACCAGTGGTTTGGAATAGTCAGCTGCCCTGAGTTGGGCTTTTCAGGAAAGGGAGGTTTGTTCGTTATAAAGACAAGAGAGGGTAGACTAGAAGCGGAAGTGGAGGGGAAGAAGGGTATTAACTTGGAGGAACTACATCTTGGCCAGCTAAGATTCAGCTATCACTGATTTTTCCTAAGTGATGAATTTCTCTACTTGAGATTGTGAACATTTCCTTATCAGAGAACGTATCCACAGGGAGATTCTGTCAGTGCTACCCTGCATTCAAAGTTAAACAGTTTTGTTTAATTTGATTATAGTTAGACAATATTGGTATCACACCATGCCTCTCCCTCTCTTAAAGTACAGCAGAATGACAGTACTCATGGGGAAATGATCTGACACATATGAAAACACTTGAAAAGTATAAAGCCCTCTCACTTTTATCCCATGCAAACATCAGCAGCTGCAGGACCACCAGCAACAAGTAATAACACTAATGTTGCCAGTTTCCATCATCCAAAGTGTCCCAACATGTTTGTGTCAACTAAGAAATAATTGCTTTTTCACCCACGTTGTTTTCACTTAGATGGCAATAAGTTCTTTTAAAAATTTGATTTCTTGCTAGTCTTTTCAACACATGAAGTCTTTCTCATTTTTCTATTGGGAGCTGAATTAAGAGTGACCTCAGCATCTTTTGAAATGTCTTGTGCTTGATACTCAATTCAAAATGTCCTCAACTTCCTGGAGGCCAGGCAAAGCAAATCTGAGCTTAAGAGTGCAGATTCTTCACTTTTTATCCCCTGATACTAGAATTTACAGAGCCACTTTTGATTGAAGTCTAGCCACTTAGAAACTGGGAGACAATTGTGATTAGCAGTGAGCTTCTCTTAGGACAAGACTGCAGGGGAAGAAACTTTAGGCACTTGTAATGCGTTTGGCTAGAGCTCAGGACTTCTCTTGGAAGAACTTTTAAAAAAATCTTTGACAAGTACTTGATGAATTGCTTTCTTTACTTGCCAGATCAAATGAGGTCCTTTCCCCTGAGCTCTTAGATCAAATGAAAAATGCTTGAGACCTATGCAATGCCTGTTCTGTAGAACATATTGTAATTTCATCCAGTGAATGCTGGTGGAATGGTTGAGGACGTTAAAAAGAGACCGCTAGAGGTAGCTCAATTGGTAGTATACTTGCCTAGCATGTATGAAGCCCTGTGTTCAATTCCCTACCATTGCATAAAACAGTCATTGTTGTGCATGTCTGTAATACTAGAACTCAGGAGGTGGAAGAAGGAGGAACAGAAATCCAATGTCATTAATAGCTTCCTAACAAGTTCAAAGCGAGCTAGTGATACATGAAATACTCTCTCAAGCCACCAGCCCCCCCCCACGTGCATCCAATAGATCCTGCTGTTTATAGAGCATTCTGTGACTCATGGGAGTAAGGTGTTGTTAAACTGACCACTGAGTGATTGAACTCAACTCCTGGGTTGAGTTATAGCATGTAGCATTCAGCTCTCAGATCCACCCATTTCTGCTCAAACACAGCATGGCTCGCGCCCCAATACTGAGGGTATGGAGGAAAAGGCAGTCAGTCAGTGTCTAAAAATGGTGCATGCAAGAGACGCTCGGGGAAGATGTAGCTGGACCTCTCAGGTAAGAAAATCCACTGATGTACTACTAGATCCCTCCACTAATTGCAGTGTAGGACACTAGCCCCAGACTTAGGAGTGGGATGGAAGGGTTTATGTTTGATAACAATAGAGATCAGTACAAGTCCTATATAAATCTATGGAAGTTTGTTTCATTGTGGTTTTGTTTTTGATACAGGACTTTGCTATAGAATATAGGCTGGCCTGGAACTTGGAATCTTCTTGCCTCAGCCCCCTAAGTACTGGGACTATAGGTGTGTAACATTTTTGCTAGTAAAAACTAGAAAAGAATGGGCTTGTGAGATGGCTCAACAATTAAGAGAGCTTTTTGAGATTACAGAAGACCTGAGTTTGAATCCCAGCAGCCATGTTAGATGGCCCACAATTGCCTGTAACTCTAACATCAGGGGATCCAACGCCCTCTTCTGGCCTCCTTGAGCACCTTCAGTCCCATGCATATAACCATACATAGATATGGGTACATACACATAAATCATTTTTAAAAAATAAAACCTAGACAAGTTTTGAGTTTACCTTCTCATGAACATGCCTGGAACTCTTTTAATCCTCCTCCAAAAAGATTCAGGGTCCCATAGTAGATCTGATCAAGCTGGTGGCCATCTTTTGCCACCTCAAAATCATTGCATTACATAGCAATTGACTCTGGGGCCTAGTGTTTCTCACCCACCCAGGGCCAGATACTGTGTCTCATTGAATGTCCTCTCTAGGGAGGTTCCTTTGGTTCATGGAAACTGCTCCCTCCACAATTTCCCTGATCCCGAGGAAAGACAGATCCATTTGGTCTTCCTTTCAAAAATATGGACAGCTTCACACCATCCATTGTGTGATCGATGAAAACTCACCTGGCACAAGCAGGCTAACGAGGAAGTTTGGGGAGATCTGGTGCCATAGAGTCTCTCCTTTTCCATCTAGCTTGTTATGCTAGAACTAGAGATAACACTTACCCATGAATAAAATGCACACTGACCCTGCTTAGCATGGGGTCTGTTAGACAGTGCTCTCCCAGAGTCCTCACACCTTCCTCATATCGTAACATCTCTAAAATTTGCACAGCTCCTTCCCCAGAACCTAGGGTCTTCTTCATTTTTTCTGGCTTCTTTTAAAAACCATTCTGTCCTTTCTGTAGGTTACTTTATTTCAAATGGTTCTGTAATCTTGGGGGGGGTTGTATTCCATCACTTCAGGTGGATTTAATAATGGAGAGGACCTTGATTTTATTTATCCAGCCCTTAGTGATATTTGGTGACTTCCAGCTTAGAGCTGCTAAATGCTCTGCAATACCTGCAGCAGAGCCACGCAACAAATTGTCCCAAAGACCACTGTTGTTGTCAGGGGAGAACACTACAACTCTTCTATCTCTTCTCACTAATGTTATCTGTTCTGGACTTTGTTTCATTTCTGCTGAACAAGTGCGCCTAAGCTGGGATCTCCCATTATTTCGGCCAAAATTCACACACAGTGATCACTCAAGTGGTGGATGGCTTAAGCAAATAACCAGCTGGTAAAATGGGGCAAGAGAACATTTCTTTCTTTCTTTTTTATTTGTTTGTGTTTTGTTTTTTTATTTAATTTTTTATTATTTAATATGTTCCTTATTTTGCATATCAACCCTAGTTCCCTGTGGCTCCCATCCTCCTATGCCCCCCACTGAGCCCTCCATCTGATCCCCCATCCACTCCCTAGGAAGGATGAGGCTTTCCATGAAGGATCATCAAAATCTGTCAAATCATTTGGGGTAGGGCCTAGGCCTTCCCCTGTATCTCTAGGCTTAGGGAGTAACCCTCCATGGGGAATGGGCCCTTGAAGTTCATTTGTGCACTAGGGATACCTCCTGGTTCCCCTGCCAGAACTGTCTGGCAGTGGAAGAGAGCCTTATGTTATGGTAGCCTGTTTCTATTATGTACAATCCTAGCCTTCATAGTACAGGCCAGAGAACAGTCTGGGCCTGAAATCGTTGCTACTTTCCCAGCCATGTCTAGCTGCTTTAGGAGCAATACCAGAAAGCAAGGAGCTGGAAGGGGAGGAAAGGAAAGAATGTGTGGTTTAGCTGTGGACTTCCAGGCTTCCATATCTCCCAAAGGAACCTGGAAAACAGTTCGGAAAGCTAATGGCATTTAGTAAACCCAACTGTGACTCAAATAGGAAGCAGATGGGATCCTTTCAAGCCTTCTTGCTTATACATCAAGCTTCTAGTTTGAGAGCGGTGCTGCAAAGTGGAGGAAACAACTGGCTGCCAGCTGCACAGCCTTGTGTGACTAGGAACTTGGTGTGATAGGCAGAGGAAGGCTGCTGTGTAAAGATACCAAGGAGCCTGTGGTGCAGCTGGAGAATGCGGAGTGCATCGTGTGACCAAACTGTTTGATATAGGCAGCCGCAGATCAGGGAACAGCAGCAACTGGCATTAGGTAGGAAAGGGAGATAGCCATAGGTAATGGAACAGCCCCAAAGGGAAGGCAAATCATCACTCCTGTCCGGGACAGGACTGAGAGTGCTACTTAATGCTTACAGAGGGAAGCATGTGGCTTGGATTCTAGGTTTGAGTATACATTGACTGTATGATCTTGGGAAAAATCATTTCCCCTATTAGGGTTTCAGTGTCCTCTGTAATAGATAAGACTGAATCAGAATTTACAATCCGGAGGCCTCAGGGACTGATTTGGCCACAGATATATTTTATTTGGCTAGGCCTGCGTTTTGTTTCTACGGTTTATGCCAGTTCCTCAGTATTCCATAGTCCACCCTGGCCTTTAGAAGCCCACTCCTACTTCTAGACCCTGCTCCATCTTCTTCTCATATTTCCAATATCCAGCTGGCTCCTGAAGGCTCCTGAACCTTAGTGACATGAACTATGTGATCTCAAAGAGGATCTAATCACTAGTAATAGGTTTCTGGGACTCTACCCACCAGCCACCAGCATGGCAAAGAGGGCCGGAAGAAGAGACATTGAGAGAAAGCAGGGCTTTCTGTCATGAACATGGGCACAGGTAGCAATGGGTATAATTTTTAACGAGTACTACTTTAAGAAACATTGGGATGGATTTTTTTTTTAATTATTTCATTATGTATACAGTGTTCTGCCTGTATGTGTGCCTGCAGGCCAGAAGAGGGCACCAGATCTCATTAAAGATGGTTGTGAGCCACCTTGTGGTTGCTGGGAATTGAATTCAGGATCTCTGAAAAGCAGCCAGTGCTCTGAACCCCTGAGCCATCTCTCCAGCCTGGGATGGATTTTCTTAAAGAATGGCTCCTCTCATCCCTGCCAAAGATGTGACCTGTGGGACACATGAGGCTTTTCCGTGAACTCAGTAGTTCTGATCTCAAAGTTTACGATAATTTTTCTTTGCAAAGGATATAAACTAAATAGTGTTGTGGGCCATGCCTCAGTCATTATTAAGCTTTGTTTTTGCTTAGCTTTGAGTTTTTAAAGTATTATTCTCTATGGAAAAATGAAAGCAACTTGTAGCCCTTCCAGAGTGATTAGATAAGCAGTTTGGAGAAAACCTTCCTTGTTTCTTTTCCTCCCAAGGACAGAGTTAACACAGTGGACTTGCCCAAGCAGAAAGTCCCTTTGTCTGTATGTCTGGCTAGGCAATGTTTGGGGGCTTTCCTCTTCAGACAGCAGCCTGAACTGAAGGCCTTTACCTTTTAGGTCTCCTATTGCAATCCCTTTAGTATCTCTCGTCTGTGAAAAATACTGATTAGACTTCAGTGTAAGAAGCTGGATAGAAGGGATGGTGGGGGCCCTTTCCTGGTTAAGTTACATATCTGAGACTTAGGCATGTGCCCCCATGCCTGGTCTCTGTTGCACCCTTCTGTGTCCTAGTCTTTGCCTAAAATGTCCTCTGGGACTCCCATTTCTGCATAATCAAGGGCCCTCACCTGACTCTTTTAGAACTTTCTGTGGCAGGATTGATGTTGTATCTCATTGTGACACCATCAAATGTCATAGAGCAGGACTGACCTGTCTCCTCTTGGGAGCAGAAGACCTGGTCAGAGGCTTTGGTTGGAAAGGGCTGTCTTGATGGCACCAGGCTGTGTTCTAGGTAAGAGACAGCGGGATCTCACGCTGTCCGTTAATAAGTCAATAGATTTAGTGTTGCCTGGCAATGTAGCAAAGTCCTTTGATACAGTACTTCTACACCTGTGTCATTTGAATACCTTGAGTTAATCATAGCTTTCTGGTTTCTAAGTTCAGGAAGCATGAATAAATGGAATAGAGGACACTGTGTAGTGCAGGAAGGAATGTTAGAGCAAACAAAGGCAAGAGTAAGTTGTTTTCACTTTAATCATTCTCATTAAAGAAAATATCCCTTAAAATTCTGCTTGGTGGTCTTGCTTTAAAATGTATTGATTGCCTTTCTGCATGAAGGGGAAGAAATGTGAATTCCACTAGACAATATCTTCTTTTGTTTTTTTTCTGACTTTTCTCTTTTTAGTAGATTGATTAGGTAAAGAGCTCTGGGCAAGGAATTAGGGGAACTGGTTGTACTCCTGTTTAAAGGGATTGTGCTTTTGTTTTAACCCCTAGTTTTTCAACCGAGTGTGGAAAGTAGGACATCATACACACTAGGCAAGTGCTCTGCCATTCAGCTTCACACTCATCCCTCGACTGTTAATTTTATGCCATTTTTTAAAACCTCCCCTGGCTTCAGTTTCTTCTTTAAAGTGATGCTAGTGAATTAAATGCACTGGAAGAACCAACTATTAGATTTATTGAAAACAATTTGTCTTATTAGACTAAAGCAACCCAAGTTTATGGGACATAAACACTGATCACAGAATGACGCACATGTATATTAATTTAACAAACTGTGAACACATAATGTGTAAGTTGTGAACAGGACTAAGGTATTATTACATCTAGTGATTCCCAAGTTACAGTTGATCATGCCCCAGCCTCATAATTTTTGTCATACTTGTATATTCCCAGAACTACTTTTTAGTTAATAGTTACTATGTTGACTGAGACTTTTAAAATCCTAAGACCTTAGTGTCACCTAAGCAGTAATATTCCTGAAGGAATATATTTGCTATGCTGTATATATTTCTTTTGAACATATTAAAATTAGTTTTCATTTAGATATCACTGAAAAGCAATGTCCTATTTTGGAAACCATTGCTCTGGATTCTTATTACCATGTGGAAACATAAAGGTTAAAGAGATTAGCTATCTTTGCAGTTTATCACTCAGCAAGTTGCTATGGAGTCATAGCTAGGGGATACCTCATGTGACTACAGCAATCAGAGACAGAGCCGTGGGGAAAACCTAGATCGTGTGACACCTATGCCACACTTCTCTCTATACATCATTCTTATTCAATGGTTGTCATTAATACCTAAGATCCATGCAATTTTTTTTTATTTTTTTTATGCATATAGAGTATTTTTTATTTAATTTTATATAACAAAGTCCAATTAAATGAAAACAAACATTTATACACAATATTTGGGAATTTGGGCATCGTTCTTTCCAAACTACTTCCTGCTGGTAAGGGCGCTGTCTTGGGGGATTCGAAGAAGATTCAGATATCCTAGCTGTAGTCTGTAGGGCTGTTTTGTCCAGCTGTTTAGATCCATGCAATTTAATGGAGATGAGAGTACAATTCAGATTTTTCTTTAATCAATTACTTTTTATTGTAGAATGTATTTTTATCATTTTACAACATAATAGTATCTTTTTATTATTTTTAAAATTTGTATATGTGTATTGTATTAAATTATTTCTTCCCTCTTTTTCCTGTCTTCCTCTCCCATATCTTCCCCCTTGGTCCCTCTCAAATACATGGGTTTATTTTTGTTAAATATTATTATTACATATGTATGAGTAAATATGTAAATACAATCCACTGAGTCCATATAGTGTTGTTCATATGTATATATTTTTAGAGCTGCCCACTTGGTATTGAATAACCAATTAGGGGTCTCATCCCTGGGGAAGACTGATTCTCTCTCTCCACAGTTACTAACACCTTGTAGCTTTTCTTTGTACCATGTATTTTGATCATATTCACCCCTGTACACTTTTCTCAGTTCCACCCCTTCCCTTCCCACCCAATTTTGTGTCTTCTCTTTTTTTCTACCTATCAAAACTAATTTACACTGCCTATATATTCTTAAATGGGTGGCCTTCCACTGGAGTGTGGTTGACTTAACAGAGACAACACCCTGAAAACTGACTCTTCTTTTCCCAGCAGCTCTCAATTGCTGATTTCTCCTCAGCTGGGGGCAGGGGAATTCGTGTCCACCTTCCCTCTCTCCGTGGGGGGATTTGGTCTTGCTTGAGCATGCATGTGAGTGTTTTTAAAGACTATCTTCCTATACAGCTTAGGTGGTCCTCAAAATCATGGTTCTACAGGTATATGCCACTCCTTGGCTCCAGTCCAGTACATTGTAAAGATAACAACAGCAGCAACAAATGAATCCTGTACCTTCAGATGAGTCACCTGAAGTTCTTAGTTCTCTGATTTGACATGGAAAGAAAGATGGTATTGAACGTGGACTAAGCATACTGCAGGCCTTCTACTGGTTTATTTGGTTTTATCCTACCACAAGCACTAGGAGAGAGTAAGCCCAACTGATTTCTCAGGGAATAGTCTGACTTCTAATAGTTATACTTCTAACAAGCAGAACAAATCCAAGTGCGCCTGCCTGAGAAGTATGCATGCATGAAGGGAACATGAACATTTGAATTTTTAGGGAGAGCAGTCTCAATGGACAAGGTAAACTCCAGTCAGAAGTTGATAAAGTAGTAACATCTCTTAAGGTATATCTTATCTGCTGAAGAGTTTCTACTGGGTGGACTGAGCAGGTGTCTTGTTTTCCTAGCCCAAAGTTGACAGTTGCATCCTCTGAGCTCCAGTTGTTTGTTCCCTCTTCTGTAAAATAGGTTTACCAGTCCCTGCTCTAGTGATATCACAGAGCTGCTGGAGGCAAATGAGTAATGGCTATCTAAAGCAGCCAGAAAGTTAAATGTCCCAGCAAACTGAGAAGTCTTGGCTACAGAGACCACAGAGGGAAGGGACTTCCTGGTAACTTATCATCATCATCCTGGATACTCTCAGGTTCTCAGTTTTACTATTTTTCTACCCTAGATTTACTACTCTGAAGGTGGACAAGCTTCAGCTATTGGGCAATTCAAGGATCGAATTATAGGGTGGAATAATCCAGGTAATGCATCGATCACCATATTGCATATGCAACCAGTGGACAGTGGAATTTACATCTGTGATGTCAACAATCCTCCAGATTTTGTCGGCAAAAATCAAGGCATCCTTGACGTCTCTGTGTTAGGTACGGACATTCTCTTCATGCCTTTTCTTAAAGCAACTTACAGCAGCGAATGAGTCAAAGCACTGAATTCTGGTGTCAATTATGTCCCTGAGGCTAATTGTCCTTCTGCTCCTTTTATTATCAGAATCTTTTTTATTAATTTAAGTTTTATCTTATTAGTAGAGACAGTTTTCCAACTCAATCTGTATAGTGATACCTAAAAATTACCATAAAATATACAGAAACAGTAGCATCCCTAGCTTAGAAGGATACTGTGAAACAAACCAATGATCCACCAAATGATTGCCAGTAACTCTTTCGGGGGGAAATTGTCATTACAGCCACAATTAGGTACAAGAAACCACTGTCAACCTTTTTGTTCCCTTTTGAAGCCTACCACTATTCCTACCATGAAATCATCTTTCAAACAAAGGCAGAAGAGTCCACTTTGTTTATATTTATTTTTATTTTATTTTGTTTTGTTTTGAGGCAGAGTCTCATGTAGCCATAGGTAGCCTTGAGATTACTATGTAATTGACATTTTATCTTGACTTTCGATCAGGTCGGGGACTCCCTTTTTAAAAATGCTAATGCTATTTGGAACACTGTTACTTGTTAAGCCATTATTAAGAATTAAATTATATGACATATTATATGACATTGGACAAGTCACATTTGCTCTCAAAATAGAATTGGAACAGTTCATTTATTCAGGACTTATGGTGTCCATACTTTGTGGAAGGAAATAAAAGCTTGCTACTGGTGGAGACATAGCATCTGCCCTTGAGGAGTACTCAATTTGTTTGATTTCTAGAGATCTTTCAAACTCCTGAGAACACAGCAGGAGCTAAGGACCTATTTGCAGACTCTAAAGTAGAAAATATTAGAGGGAGGAGGGAAAAGCCTTTACTTTCAAATAGAGCAGATCTAGTTATTGCTCCTGGCAGTTTGAGTATATGCATCATTAGAAAGGAAGCACTAGGCCAAATCAGTGACTAGATAGTTGACTGGTTTAAAGAAGCAACAAATGAGCCGGGCATTGGTGGTGGACGCCTTTATTCCCAGCACTCGGGAGGCAGAGGCAGGCAGATCTCTGTGAGTTTGAGGCCAGCCTGGTCTACTACAGAGCGAGTTCCAGGACAGGCTTCAAAGCTACACAGAGAAACCCTGTCTCAAAAAATAAAAAAAAGAAGCAATAATTGACAGTGAGGTGCGCATCTATGAACAGTGTCCACAGTTGTCTTGCTATGCATGTGATTCTAAAGGAGCCAACGGTGAGGTCTGCCATTGTATTTAGCCTCCTAGAAAAGAGGGAATGTTATTCTGGAGCTAATGTTTAAGGGAGGGTTTGCTCAGTCTGTTGTGTTTTATTGTGCTGAGCCTTGTGCCTGGCATTGGGGTGTGGGAATAGATGAACCCATTCCTAGGAAAGCTTACGTGGCTGATCAGAAGATCAGTCATATATATGGGAGGAAATAATGGGGCAAGAATGCCAAAAACAAAACAAAACAAAACATGAGACTGAAAATCATAAAGCTTAATTTCTAGGCCTTTCTTGTTTCTCGGTGACCTTATACGATGCAGTTCATCACTCTCTGACCATTGTAAGATAGGTTGTAAGTCTGTCTTCTTTACTGATTTATTATGAGAATCCAATTAGGTGCTGGGGTTTAAAGAGCCTTTTAATGTTCAAGTAATTTGAGGGATTAATCATCTAATGATTTTCTGTTGCGTCTATGTCTCTGGGGTAATGTGAGCAGAAGCAATTTTCAAGAAAAGGCTTGGAAATAGCCCTGAGATAAGCTAGGCAAGAAGGTTAATATTCTTAAATTTGAAGTTCAGAGGACTCTCAGTGAATTTCCACGAGTTAAAGATTGCTTAAGCTAGTTCTGCTTTTGTTTTTGTTTTCTGAGTCCCTGAGTCAGATAAGTCTTGCCATGACTCTGTCATGATCTTTCATGAAGCAGCCAGAATCCATAAAACGAAGATACTGAACATTCTGTGGATTTTCTTTCACAAAAAGTCTATTTTTATTAATTCAGAAAAAAAGCAAAGCTATCCTATGAATTTCAACTTTTCAGAAATTAGTGATAGTAAGTTATCTGTAAACTTTCAAAGTCTGTGCAGTTGTTAAAACCCATTGCACATGAACACTCTGATTGGGGCCCGGGCAAAGTAGAGCTGGGTGGGTCGGCGGACCAGTTGTAGACAGTTACTGATACTCTATTGAGGATGGCTCGTCATAGCACTACATTTTTTTAAAATCTCTTTATTGCAATAAAATCACAAAAATTTCACATAGCTCGATTATGGTAACCACGCAAACAGTGCAACCTAATGAACTAATGGAAAGTTAGACTGGCCATGCTGAAGCCATGGGGCTTTGCTTAGGCCTTTCCTCTTTCACTGTCAGTTGCATTTTATTTTTTTTAAAGAGATTTATTTATTCTTTATACAGTGTTCTGCCTGCATGTCTGCCTGCACTCCAGAAGAGGGCAGCGGATCTCATTATAGATGGTTGTGAGGCACCATGTGGTTGCTGGGAATTGAACTCAGAACCTCTGGAAGAGCAGTCAGTGCCCTTAACCGCTGAGCCATCTCTCCAGCCCTGTCAGTTGCATTTTTATGAACTTATTCACACAAAAAAGAAAAAAAAATCTGGGAGTTGAAAGTAGGAAAAGCAGTTAGATTTATATTCTCTTTTTGATTCATGTGTTCTTTTGCCTATACTCCATCCCTTCTCATCACGTAATGGTACCTTTTCTTGGTCTCTTTTCTAATATGCATGTTATGCAAAATGTTATATCCATGGTGTGTATATGTTTATGGGTAAACATCTGTGAACGTGGCTAAGTATAGCAATGCATCTTTAAGAGATATTTCTCACCCAGCATGGTTATCAGTCAATCCCTTCATTTGCTTTGCAGTCATGAGTCCCTTAATCAAAACCCGAGAACATGCTGTAGCTACTGTTCTAAGCAATGGGAATAGTAAGGTGTAAAAGATAGGGCTCCAGCCCTCCAAAAACCCAATCTAGAGAAAGAGACAGATAGCAGGAAAGTTTTCAGTGGGAGGAGAGCTGTGAAGGCACGGGCGGGGCCGGGGGATCTACATAATGGAACTAGAGAAGACTTATCAGGGAAAGAGACTTCTGTGCAGGCTGAGGAAGGATGCCCTAGAGTGTATCAGCAGAGCACAGGCTGAAGTGGCAGGGTACAGTTCAGGTGATGAAAGCAGCAGTGAGCCATAAGGCAGGTGGTTGGCATGGCCATTCATTTAAGAGATTTCCATTAGTTATGGCAACCCTGGAAAATCGATCTTTGAAAGTGCCCAGATCGACTCTGAATAATTATCATGTGTACATTTGGAATGAGCACCATCTCCATTCTGCAGTTTGGCACATAAAAATTATTAATTTAGAGGAGCTTTGTGAGCACACTGAAGCATTTTCGTTTGTCTTCTGAGATGAGCCTTTTCCTTCCACCCCAATTCTGATGAAAGCTATAAAGCTGAAGGGTAGATCAATGGCTTTGCCAGTAAAGCATACTAGCTCTTTGGGGGTACTTTAACTGGATGAAATGTCAGCTCAGTTCTGATGCAGTAGTTTTAGAAGATATATAGGTTTGCAGCATGTCTCACAATGAGTCACACAATGAGTGTTTTGTTAATAATAAAAAGGAGAGCTAGAAGGAGAAAAAAAAGCCCCAACAACAAGAGGCATAATCTAGATTGAATCTAGACTCAGTGAATGAGTGCCATTTATTCTAGGTTGCTCTATATAATTTAATCCTGGTGCCTGATTTTAATGTTGAAATCCCCACTCTTTTCTGTTCAAATTGTTCAATTCTTATACAGGGGCTATAACATTCAGGACCACTTTTTGTTTTGTTTGAGACAGGGTTTCTCTGTATTGCTTTGGAGCCTGTCCTGGAACTAGCTCTGTAGACCAGGCTGACCTCGAACTCACAGAGAACTGCCTGCCTCTGCCTCTTGGAGTGCTGGGACTAAAGGCCTGTGCCACCAACGCCCAGGTCAGGACCACTTTTTAAAGACATTAAGCCTAGTCAGAATTCAATGGGATGGTTAGATGGCCTAGTTAGGTAGGTGAATCAAGTTTTTCCCATCTCACCAAATCATTCAGAAGAAAGAGAGGATTGAAATCTGAATAGGAAAGTACTTGAAATCAAAAGGCACCAGTTTTAAAAGAATAGTGAAGCATTTGGAAGAGTTGTGCTTATATACACCTGTCTTCTTCATGCATACAAGCATTTGAATCCCATTGCCTTACCAGAGCATAAACTGTTAGAAGATTTATTTCAGTAGCAAAAACTAGACCAGGCCATAGCTAACAGCCGTTTCATGTACAAGGCCCTATTTATGGTATTTTCTTTTGGATGGCCAGAGGTTAGATCATTTCTCATTTATATTTTATAGATGAGACAATTTGAGGTTTAGTTCAGTTAGGAAACTTGCCCAAATACCTAGGGTAAAGTTGTAGAGCTGATGTTCAGTGTGGATCCAGATCTGTCGTCATGTGTCCCAGGAGAACCAAAGGGCAGTCTGAAGCATTTAAGGTATACATTTCATAAGTTAGAGTGTTAGCTGCTAGAAGGGTAGTTTTTTTATAATCCAATTTAAGACTAAGGAATGAGAGCCAGGTATGGTAGCATATACCTGTAATTCTAGCACTTGAGAGGTAGAGGCCAGATGGTCATGAATTGAAGGCCTGTCTCATCCACTTAGCAAGTTCAAACACACAAACTAACCAACCAGTCAGCCAAACATAAAACAAAAGGAGGACTGTTGATTGGAAAGCACAGAACTTAGGATCATCATCTGTGTGTTATTAAGGACAGACTAAATGGCACAAAGTAAGGGGAATGGGGAGATAGTGATTGACAGTTACCCGAGAACACCTCCATCCAGGTGTTGTCATAGACAGCTGAAAAATCAGCATGTCCCAAACCGTCCCCAGTATCACTCCTTCCTCCTCATCCCTTCCTCTAAAACTTGTTCTTCCACCTGAGTTCTTTCTCTCCGGTGCTGGCAGGATCATGGACACACAGTCAGAAAGAAGCCTGGGATAGCTTTTACCCTCTTCCTCATCCTCTGTAGCCTATGTCACTAGCTCCTATGAGTCTGTTTCCTTAATATGTCTCGAATCACCTTTCCCTTGGCTCAGGAACCCTCAGTATCAGAGAGAGAGCTCCATGTGAAGTATTAGAAAGACCGTCGTTACTACCTTCTTAACCCCCTTCCATGGTCTCTCTGTCCCCAGTGCAAAACACATGTAATACAGAGCCTTTTCTGATGCATCGCCAGTGTCCTGTGATTTCATCTCTCATAACCCTTAACCCCACTTTAGAAGTGACCAGGTTGCTGTTGAATCTACAGTGCCTAGTCCAGTGCTGGATAGAGAGAAGGCACACAGCTAAATTCTTGCTGAGTGGCAGACAGATCAAGATTGCAACATCATATAGCACAGATGCAAAATGGGCTCCCTCTGCTGAGCAAGGGCACAGGCAAATTCAAACCTTGTAGCAATTTGGAGTCACTTATAGGTGAATAAATGAAAAACTGCCTTAGCCTCACATAGAAATAGAAAAAAAAAGTAGTAGTAAAAGAATTTCTAGAATGGTTTTATCTCCAAGTATTTAAGGCTCTGTTTTCATTTAAGATGGCTTTTTAAAACACAAGCTATGTGTCTACTCAGAGTTTGCTTACATTTGGCTGCTTTAATAAAGGCATATTTTAGGATACAATGAGGAAATGCATGGTTATAAATCTGGGGAAAAGGCAGACAGTAGAGACACCATTTGAATCTTAATGGCTTCCTGACTAGATGGTCCCTGTGGTTGAAGTGCTCTACTCCCATCTGGTGGTGCAAACAGAAAACTGCCCTAAACATGGTCTTTGAAGAATAAATAAACAAGTAAATGTATAGTCTGTGCAGTGAAAGCGAGAAAGTGACTGCCATTTTCCTGCAAGAATCTTACTTTTTGTCGTTACTTTGCAGTCAAACCTTCCAAGCCCTTTTGTACCATCCAGGGAAGGCCAGAAGCAGGCCACCCTATTTCCTTGTCTTGCCTTTCTGCCTTTGGAACACCATCTCCTGTGTATTATTGGTATAAGATTGAGGGAAACACCATTGTGCCAGTAAAAGAAAGCTTCAGTGAGTATTGTCTTTCATAACCTCCATCCTGGCCTGGTGGTTGGGTTGCCTTGTGCTGCTGGATGCTTGTCTGAAGTTCTCAAACATTTCTTCCCTTGATGTCTGTGTGTGTGTGTGTGTGTGTGTGTGTAGCAGAGGTGTACTTAAAATGATACCTGTCTGCTAACATGATGATTGTGTGTGTCTGTTTCCCAGAGTCTAGAATTCAACTGAGAGATGATGAATATGGAGGGTCTTTGTTGGGTTGCTTGTAGAGCATTGCAAGAGATCAGGTTGGATCCTATTCATCTCAAGAGAGGCCACTATAAGAAAGTGGGTGGGCAAAAAGCCGGGTGGTGGTAGTGCACATCTTTAATCCCAGCACTCAGGAGTCAGAGTCAGGCTGATCTCTGTGAGTTCATGGCCAGCATGGTCTACAAAGCTACACAGAGAAACCTTGTCTCAAAACAAACAAACAAAAAAACCAAAAACAAACAAACAAAAGAAGAAAGAAAGGAAAAGAAATAGGGTGGGCATTAAACCATATAAACTGATATGACAAGAGATCTTAAAAATCTGTTTCCTGGTTTTTACAGACTCAGCCACTGGAGTTTTGGTTATTGGAAATCTGACAAGTTTTGAACAAGGTTATTACCAGTGTATTGCTGTCAATAGTCTTGGAAATAGTTCCTGTGAAATTGACTTAACCTCTTCACGTGAGTTGACCATATGGCTTTTATACTTTATACAGTTAAGTAGCCTGACCCTACTAGTTAAATAGATTAATTAGGATCTCTCCTAAGTCCTTCTTGCCTCTCTGGAGATTTCTGTGCTTTGTTGGTAAGTTGATATGATGAATGTTCATCCAAATCTCTCATTTCTACATGATAATATGTTCCCTAAATTCTTCACTGAGTAGTTTATTTAGACATCACACAATCATTAGGAAGTAGGTTATTCTCTGACAAATAAAAACAGCAGTGTTATTAACAGTCTAGGATGTTCTGTCTTTTCCACTTGATAAATCTAGCTAGCCTCTTAGTGATCTTTTTTCAAACACACAGCTCCCAGACTCCCTGCTTCTTGACTGCCTTATTAAGATCAGCCTCTAGAAAACACAGGGAAACGCTTCAAGATAAGGGACAGGTAGGCCTTTCTGACAAGGACTTTGGTAGAGTAGGAAATAGTGGCAAGAACTGATAAATGAGCTTTCTTTTTCATGAAATATAAAAGTTTTGTACAGCAAAGAAAACAACAAACTGAAGGAAGAGGCAACCTAGAGAACAGAAGGCAATCCATTACAGGCATTCAGCCTACAGAGGATTGACACTCACAATACAGAAATGACTAAAAAAAATTAAACACCCATAAGCTAATCATATAGGCAGATGTTTTGTACAGACAAGTCTCAGAAGAATTGCAAATAGACAACAAGTGTATGAAAAAAATGTTAGTGTTTTTTTTTTTTTTTTCACCATCTTGAAAATGTTGTCAGGATTGTGGTGAGCTTCCATCAAGAAGTCAAACAACAAATGTGGGCAAGGACATGCAGGAAAAGGGAACCCTCATATGCTGATGGTAGGAATGTGAACTAGAGCAATTGACGATGGAAGTCAGTATGAAGGTTCCTCCAAAAACTAAAAATAGAATTACTGTATGATCCAGCTGTGTCACTTATGCATCTATGACTAAAAGAATTCAAGTCAGCACACCACAGAGATAGTTTGATAAGCTTTGTTTTTATTTTCCAGTGTTAGAACACCCAAGTTACAGAGTCATAGATTGTCATCACCCTATGAATAGATAATGTAGAATTTTCTTCAGCCATAAATAAACACTCCAGTTCAGTAGCATTATGTTGTTTGTAGGAAAATGGAAGTGAGAAATTCCATATTGAGTGAAATAAGCCAGATCCAGAAAGACAGATTTCACAAATTTTCTTTCATAGACAGAATTTTTAAGAAGACGTGAAAGTAGAAGGGGGCTGTTAGGGAAAAAAAATTGGGACCAGTAGAAGAATGCGAGTGGAACGAGAAAATCTAACTGGAATGCAGATATGGTTTAAGTTACATGTATACATTCAGGAAACATATTTATGCACATAATTCAACATCCATGTTCTAATAGTAAATAAAAATGAAAGTTTGGAGCCCAACCAGGCAGTATCATCTACAGTCACAATACCAAATGATTACTATTATTACTATTAGTCTTATATTATTTCCCAGACACTTGGCCAGGTGCTACATGAGCAACATCTCACTTGATCATCCCTACCACCCACCCTATTTATGGAGGCAGAATAAATACATTGTTAGTCTTATTTTCCTAAAGGGGTCACTGAAGTTCACAGAGGTAAATGACTTGCCCGAGTTCATCCAGTTACTAATTTGTATAGCTGGGATGCCTCTAAATCTCAGTCTTCCTGTTAAAAGATAAATGCTCTCTGATATTCATACTTAAGAGCCTTGGAATTGACAGATTAGGCCAATCCTGGGAAAAGCCCTCATGAGGGATGTCTTGCCAAACCTCTTAGGGACCACTTGGCAACATTTAGAGCCTTATCTGTCCCCCATTCTCATCACTTTCAGCTTTTTCCTATGGCCATCTCTGTTGTCTTTCTTAACTTCTCACTCAAATGTCTGCCCTTCTAGAGATAGACTCACACTAAGGATGTTCGGTCACGTAAAATTAGTACTTGAGTCTTCTTTCCAGCTGTTTCTATCGTTTTCACTGGATCGCCTTCCCTCCTCTCCTCTCCTCTTCCTTTTTGACTCCTTTCTCTTTTTTGGCCCCCTACTCTCCTTTTCTTCCTAAATCCCCTATTGGATACCCACTATGGATCCTCATAAGTGATGCAGAGACAGAACTCAAGAAAAAATATATCTTTCACTCAAGCAGCTCACCATTCAGCTAGAAGGTCGAACAAAGACTCTATGTGCTAAGCGCTATAATAGAGGTCTGCACAGGGTGTATTGGCACCAAAAGAGGAACCCTTATGATTACAGATCTGGAGCAGCTGTGCTGACCAAGTACTATTTGAGCTGACACTTGAAGGTACTAGCAAAGGCTGTTGTTTCTGTAAAACGGAGATGTTGGATGAGGGAACAAAAGCAGACAACCAGCTGTTGAAAGACAATTGGTTCATGGCGAAAGAAGAGGAGAGCCACAGGAAATAGCACTGGGAGATGGAACCATAATAAAGAGAGCCATTGTGTTTGCGTCTATTGAAGGCATTTATTATCTCCTCCCTATATCGAAATTAGTGTGAAGGTAGTTAAAACCAAACAAACCCCCAAATGAGGCAGTTAATAACCTTAGGGAGAACACTTTAAAATGCTGTATAACAGAGTCTCATAGTAGGGGTGTGCCTGAGTTGTAAACAATATTTAATTTTCACTCATTTAATATTTAATTAAAATAGCACTATAGTTGTATTAGGAGAATGTGGTGGGAGATGAGGAGTGCTTAGAAATTCAGAAGGGAATAATGAACGCTGGGGAAAGGGACACCTAAGATCAAGCATAATAGAAATATAAAGGCAGGAGCAAATTTGGTGGTTGGCGTGGATCAAGAGAATGCTGTTTGGTTAAAAGTTTAGAATTATTTCATTGTTACATTTATTCATGTGTTCCCTTTTTGTTTCGTTTAATTTTATTGATTTACAGTTTCATACATGTGTATAAGGAGTTTTAGTCCTTTTCACTCCCCCACCCCCCCTCACCAGCCTTTCTCCCAGCACAACTCATTTGCTCAACCAGTCCCTTCCTCCTTTCCTGTCTTCTTCTTGTGTAATTACAGTTTCTTGCCTAAGCATTGGTGGGAGAATATTTACTGGCGCAAGGTCAGTTCATTAGTGAATACACCACTGAAGAAAAATGACATCCCCTCCTCCGACAGCTATTGATTGCTAGTAGTCCCTTGGAGAGGGGTTAAAGGGCCCTATCTTGTGCTGACAACCACAGCTGTGGCGAGTTCATGAGTGTAGCAACTTGTCTACCCAGAAGACATCCTTTGCTGCCCATCCCCCCACCCTCTGGCTCTTATTCCATCCCTTCTTCTGCAGTATTCCCCAAGCCTCGGTGAGCTATATCTGGGCTGTCCCATTGAGAGTTTTTTGAGACAAGGTCTTTTCATGTATGTAGTCCAGGCTGGCCTCAAACTCATGATTTTTCTGCGTCCATCTTTTGAGTTCTAGGATCACAAACGTGCATTCCTGTTCCCAGAGCTACATAGATTCCTTCGGTCATAAGAAGGTGGAGGACTTATTATGCCAACTTAGTTCCTTTTGTTTTAAATAGAATCAAGCAATGTGTATTATTTTTTTATTTAAAAATTTATTTTTCATTTTATATACTAACCCCAGTTCCTTCTGCCTCCTTTCCTCCCATCCTTCCTTCCCCCCTCATCCACTCCTCAGAGGGGGTAAGGCTGTCCTTGGGGAGTCAACAAAGTCAAGCATACCAAGTTGAGGCGCCCAGTATCAAGGCTGAGCAAGATATCCTACTATAGGGAGTGGGCTCCAAAAAGCCAGCAAACTTAGTTTCTTATTTCAAAGTGTAAACTGTTGATCCTTGTTTAAGGGTAAATAAATGGGTATGGACTGGCTTATGACACAGACATGTTCTGTCAGGGAGGAGAATGCCGGGCTAGGAGGTTTGCTGTTGAGCTGGATTGTCTCACACTCATTCAATTTTCCCATAGACTGATATAGTAAACCAGATGCCTGTTTATCCAAATGGCCATATCCTTTCCCAGTGGCTAGAATGCAGGCAGTTCCTTCATGAGTGAGGAGTGTGGGGAGAAGCTTCTTTATTTAACTTAGGCCCTAGGAAAGCTGATGAATTGTCCCTGCCTATAACAGAGCATGTTTCTAGTTAACAGATTGCCATGACATGTCTCTGACCACATAAAGGCACACTGAAAGAATTCTTCCCTAAATACTGCTTTAGAAACAAACTTGCCCATGGTCATATTTTTCTTCACTTGTATACATGTCAATGTTAAGCTACACAGCCAAGGGCCTCACACTTCTCATCCATCAGGAACCTAGCTAGCAGAATTCTTGGGGTTTCTATTCCCTCCATCTATGCCTGTCACTTTCTTGCTTTGGGAATCTTCCAGATGGCTTTTACAAGTCTCAAATGCACATATATGGAAAGAAAATGTGTTCTTATTTACCAACTATCTACCTGTGTCCTCCAGATCCAGAAGTTGGGGTCATTATTGGTGCCTTCATTGGTGCCCTGATAGGTGCTGCTGTCATCGTCTCTGTGGTGTACTTCGCAAGGAACAAAGTTAAAGCAAAGCAAAGGAAGAGGGATTTAAACCCCAGCACGGAACTTGAGTAAGCCTTCATCGACCTACATCCACATCCCCATTGCTGTCTTTACATGAATACAAGCACTCCTCTGGAAATAACTTGCAGTACTAATCACTCCTTTGAGAATAACATATCAAGGTTAACATTCTGTTTGCTCTCATTGCTTTTACCCAAAGCATGACAATGCCTATTTATTGAGCCCTGGGTGATGGGCTCTGTTCTAAGTACTTTCATCAACTAATTTAATCATCACAAAGGCTCTTTTAGGTCAAAAGAAAAATGTTTTAAGATATGATACTAACGTATTTATCTTTATACCAACACAATCACAAGCATAATTGTGGATGTTTTAATTAAACAGGAGACCTAGAAGGGCAAAAGTACATAAGGCCCAGGGAAATCAGAATTTGGTTGGCCCATGGCCTATGCTATTAGCTACACTGCAATTTCTTCTGCAGCTTAGGTGATGCTCATCCACTTGCTCACCCTTCTCTCTTCTTTTGAAATTTATTTTTATTTTTTGAGATTATAATTATAACATTTTCTCCTTCCATTTCTTCCCTAAGATATACTTCTCCCTGCTCTTTTTCAAATTCACAACCTCTTTTTTCATTAATTATTATTGTGTGCATATATGTATAGGTATATACATACATATTGCATACATGTATAGGTATATATGTATGTATTCCTAAATACAACCTGCTCTGTATGTATAATGTTACCTGTGTGCAAGTTCTCATGACGGATCATTGGTATTGGATAACCAATTGGTGTGTCCTTCCATGGATTTAATTGAATTTAAATGATTTAATTAATTTAATCTAATTGGTTCCACAAATATGCTTTATATTACCAATTAGGAGCCAAGTGTTGTCCTAAGGAGTTGGAGACATGAATGCAACTGAATCATAGATTTGACCCTCAAATACATTATTAGCTTCCCACAGTCTTTCTTCATATCAGTTTTCTACCTTTTAAATGCTGGTGTGTCTTTCTTGGATGTTCATGTTATTGAAATCTAATCTTTCTAAACTCCAAAATGGACACCTGTGGTCTAACATCAAGTCAAAATATCAGGATGAGCAGATAGCCTAAACTAGTTCTCAACCTGTGGGTTGTGACCTCTTTGAGAGTTGAATATCAGACATTTACAGTATGATTTATAACAGTAGCAAAATTACAGTTATGAAGTATCAAGGAAAATAACTATGGTTGTGGGTCATTACAACACGAGGCACTGTAATATAGGGTCACAGCATTAGGAGGGCCTATTTGTCACTAAAGCTACCAGTGTATGGCTTCATGTGAAATTTCCAAGTTTGAAGTTCCCTAATGTTTTTCTGGTGATTCTTATAGACCAATGACAAAGGCCAGCCATTCCCGAGACAATGAAGCAATCCCTTCTGAAGATATCCAGCTAGGAGCAACTCTGTCATCTTCCATCCGTGTTACCCACACCACCAAACCTACTATTGCCATCTTAGGGCAAGAATATGAGCCTAACCCCCAGCTTAAAACAGCCACCCAGCCTGACCCTGAACCAGAGCCTATGCCAGTACCTGAGATGGAGATTCATCTGGAGCCGGAGCTGGAGCTGGAGCTGGAGCCGGAGACGGAGACAGAGCCTGAGTTCGAGCCTGAGCTCGAGCTTCCATCTGGAATCATAGTTGAGCCTCTGAATGAGGAGGAAAATGATAAAGTTAAGGCATAAGCATAGATAGGCATGGCAGTTCTCACTTAGGAACCCATTCCTGGCCTTTAAGATTTGGTGGACTTAACCAGCCCCCAGCTTGTCCTTCCATTATGGACAGCCCTCATCTAACAGCCTGCTTATACTCACCATTAATCCAAAATAAATCAAGGTAACACCAACGAAATGCAAAGGATTCTTTGTTTGTAGTATAGATTATTTAAAACTGTACTAACATGTAAACATAACAAATGATAAGGTCAAGATGAGCGGCTCGTTTCTAATTTAGAGTATTTGCAAAAGCATTTTCTATATTTTGTAGTCACTTTTTTTGATGGTTCACATGTACACATGATAGGGTCGAGTTAATTTGATGGAATATTTTAGGGTTAGTTGTCTTCCCCATTCATTTTTATATTTACCACTAAGGAAATAATTTGACACCATTGGTTCATAAATTAGAAAATACCATTTTCCCCAAATAAGAGGATATGTATCAGTTGGTGATACAATCTAAAACTAAGTCTTACAATTTATCATATTAAATATTTAATATACCAATTCATTGTCTAAAACTTGAGCATAGCAATATTTTTATAACTTATTATTCACTGCCAAATGGTATACAGGCAAATAATTTAGAATAAACTTTTTTCTTGGTGAACATAAAGTGTTGGTATTGGAGGCAGTTTGGAATATATCTTTAAATAAGCTATTATGGTATCACTGTCTGATGCTATCTGTTTTAGCAGTAGGCTAGATAATCTAAGCTGGCCATTTAAACAATGTTTGCAGTTTCTGTAGTCCATATTCATAGAAACATCACTCTTGTGTAAATGATAACCAATAAACGAATGCATCAATAAGAAAGCTTTTTTTATGATCATATTTCACAGACACCCCACTCTGAAGAAATTTACAGGTAGATTTACTTTTTTTGTACTTGTGTAATCAATCACAGCTAAAATATTATTTTAAGGCTCAATAAATAATGCTCAATAAAATCTCATTTAGTGACTACTAAGATAAATTCTTTTTAATAACTATTGCCATGTAATTTATGTACTATAAGCTGTACCCATTTTAAATGTATAATTTGATGAGTTTTGACAGTTGTACACACCCATGAAACCACCATATCTATGTAGGTAGAACATTTCTACCAGCCTAAAATATTTTCTCGTGTCCCTTTTTATAATTCCACTGGGTCCCAGGCCTAGATGACCACTGATCTGTTTTGCTTCTCTAAAAATTAGCTTTTCTTTTCCCTGACCTTTATATGAATGGTATCATAGAGTACATACTTTAATATCTGACTTTCTTCTCAACTAAATACTTTTCAGTGGGTCTCTGTCACATCTAGGACTTTATGTAAAGGATCCTCTTAACTAAAACCCCTTCTCTCTATATATAGATAATGCCCATTTATCCATTGGGGTAGACTGTACAGACAGTTTAAGGAGAAATGAACTAATGTCTATTACTTGTACCTGGTCATGAAAAGAGATAGCAAGCTTTTACTTGTGTATTTTCTTTGATGTGTCCGTTAGTAGCTACTCTTGGGGAGTTTTGAAGCACCAATTTTTCCATTGACAGGTGAAATACAATATAATGCTACCATATATAGTGCCTGATGGGTATAGGAAGAAAACTGCTGAAGGTCCTGAGAATGACCCTAATTTTAGATATTGTAAACTAAATGCCAAAATAACAAAAATGGCTAAGTAGCTGAAATTTATTTTTCTTGCCCATTTCTATGATGAGGTAAATCGTGGGAAAAGAGATAGACCTGTAATAGTAACTATAGGACTAAACCTCTTTTTTAAATAATTTATTTTTTAATTTCATTACATTCCAAACAGTTCTCCCTCCCATTCCTCACCTCCCCCCAGCCCACCCCAGTCTAATCCTCCTCATGGGTAAGGGGATCCTATGAGGAGTCAATCAAGTCTGGATTCATAGCAGCATTATTCATAATAGCCAGAACCTGGAAACAACCTAGATGCTCCCCAACCCAAGGATAGAGAAAATGTGGTACATTTACATAATGGAGTATTAATCAGCTATGAGAAACAACAGCATCATGAAATCTGTAGGCAAATAGATGGAACTAGAAAAAAAAAATACATCCTCCAGGCGTAGGTGGAGCATGCCTTTAGTCCCAGCAGTCTGGATGTAGAGGCAGGAGGATCTCTGTGAGTTCAAGTCCATCCTGGTTTACAGAGCTAGTTCCAGGACAGGCTCCAAAGCCACAAAGAAACCCTATCTCGACCCCCTACCCCCAAATAAAGAGCAAGGGAAGAGATACCTTGATAGAGGGAGCAATTAAGGGGTTATTGAGGAACCGTGCACTAGAGAAATTCCCAGGAATTCACAAGGATGACCCCAGTTAAGACTCCTAGCAATAGTGGACAGGGCCGAGAACTGGCTTTCCCCTGTAATCAGATTGGTGAACAACCCAAATATCATCATAGAGCCCACATCCAGTAATTATTGGAACCAGACACAGAGTCTACACCAACCACCAGGCTTAGCTCTGGGAATCCAATCAAAGAGAGGGAGGAGGGAATGCATGAGCAAGGGAGTCAAGATCATGATGGAGAAATCTAGAGACAGCTGAACCAAGCTAGTGGAAACTCATGAACTCTAGACCAACAGCTGTGGAGACTCCAGGGGACTGAACTAGGTGGGAGATAGTTGTGAAACTTGGACTAGCTGAGGGGCCCCTGGCAGTAGGACCATAATATAACCCTGATGAGCTGGAGCCTCATTGCCTTTAGTGGATGCCATGCTCAGCCTTAATGGATGGGAGAGGGCCTTGGTCCTGGCCCAAACTTCTAATGGATCAATGTTGACTAGGAAGGCTGTTACTGTTGGTGGTTTTAAATACACCTGTGTATACTAGATTATGCCATTTGAATAATGAAGAATAGTTGATTTTTTTCTCACATTTTTGAGATCACAGATCACATTGTGAGTCTGCTGAAGACTATGGACTCCTAGCCTTTGAAAAATACACATCTATGTGACACATAAGATGTCACATAGTTGATTTATGTTTTTAATAACGTATTTTTATTATTTTGGTATTTCATAGAATATGAAATTTATTTTGATAATGTTCACTCCCTATTTGTCCCCCCAAATGCTTCTCAGATCCACCCTCATCTCCCCTCTCATCCTAACTTAATGTCTCTTTAAAAAATAACCCATGCCAGGCAGTGGGTGCACACACCTTTAATCCCAGCACTTGGGAAGCAGAGGCAGGAAGATCTCTGTGAGTTCAAGGCCAGCCTGCTCTACAGAGCTAGTTCTAGGACAGCTAGGGCTTTTACGAAAAGAAACCCTGTCTCAAAACAAAACAAAAAACCACTAAGTCCAATTTGTGCTGCCTATATACTCCTGGGTGTAGGGCCATCTACTGGAGTATGGTCAACAGAGGCCACATCCTTAAAACTGTCCCTCCCCCAGAAGCCATTAATTGTCACCAGCTATTCAGTTAAGGTTTGGGGCTCATGAACCCATTTCCTCTTTAAGCTAGAATGTTGAATGATTTCAGAATTGTGCTTGCACAAGTCTTGTGCAGGTAAGCCTTAGCTGATGAATGTTCATAAATGCAGTGGTCTTCTATCCAGAGAACACTATTTCACTCCAATCTTCTCCATCTTCTGGTTCTTATAACCTGTTTCCCAGTTCTAATATGGTCTCTCCCATTTGTTTGTTTTGTCTATTTAAATTTGCAACAGGCTTGTTTTACAAGTCAATCCCTTGCCCTCCCCTCCTTCCCTGTCCCCCTACTAACCACCATCCCATTCCCTTTCTGCTCCCCAGAGAGGGTGCGGCATTCTATGAGGAGTCTTCAAAGTCTGTCACATCATTTGCAATAGGGCCTAGGCCCTCCCCCAAGCATCCTGGCTGAGACAGTATCCTTCTATGTGGAATGGCCTCCCAAAGTCCATTCATATACTAGGGATAAATACTGATCCTTTACTAGAGGCCCCATAGACTGCCCAGTCCTCCTAACTAACACCCACATTCAGGGGGTCTCTGGTCTATGATAGATTTCCAGCTATCAGTCTGGGGTCCATGAGCTCCCCCTTGTTAAGGTCATATGTTACTATAGGTTTCCCCAGCCTGGTCTTGATGACCCCTTTGCTCATCACTCCTCCCTCTTTGCAACTGGATTCCAGGAGTTCAGCTCAGTGCTTAGCTGTGGGTGTCTGCTTCTGCTTCCATCAGCTACTAGATGAAGGCTCTAGGATCGCATACAAGGTAGTCATCAATCTTATTATCGGGGAAGGGCATTTAAGGTAGTTTCTCCACTATTGCTTAGATTTGTTCGTTGGGATCATTCTTGTAGCTCTCTGGACATTTCTCTAATGCCAGATTTCTCATAATGGCTCGCTCTAATATGGTATCTCTTTTCTTGCTCTCCTCTAATCGTTCCCTGACTCAATTTTCCTGCCCCACTCATGCCCTCGCCTGCCCTCCTCTTCTTCCTTTCTCCTATCTCCCTCTCTCCTCCCCCATGCTCCCAATTTGCTTGGGAGATCTTGTCCCTTTCCCCTTCTCCAGGGGCCCATGTATGTCTCTCCTAGAGTCCTCGTTTCCTAGCTTTTCTGGCAGTGTAATTGTAGGCTGGAAATCCTTTGCTCTATGTCTAAAACCCATATATGAGTGAGTACATATCATGTTTGTCTTTTTGTGACTGGGTTACCGTACTCAGGATAGTTTCTTTTTGTTCCATCAATTTGCCTGTGAATTTCAAGTTTCCATTGTTATTTTTTCTGCTGAATAAGTGCTCCATTGTGTACATGTACCACATTTTCTTCATCCATTCGTCAGTTGAGGGGCATTTAGGTCACTTCCAGGTTCTGGTTATTACAAATAATGCTGCTATGAACATAGTTGAACAGATGTCCTTGTATGAATGCACATTTTTGGGTATATGCCTAAGTTTGGAATTGCTGGATCTACTGGTTCCCATTTTCCTGAGGAACTATACCTCTTCTAAGAGGAACAGTGTGGCTGGT